CAGACCCAACAGACCGAGTCTGCACCCTGTCTGCAATCAGGCTAACCAGCCTGCAGCAACTGAACAAGCCAGGGTCAATCAGAGCAATTACTTGCATGGAAATTAGCAGTGGGAGAGCATGTCTAGCTGTTTAACACAATGAAGGTATTTTAGAAACATTCTGAGGAGTCACCCAGTTACTGTTACTCCTTCTTCCCACACACACACTCCATCGTTCCTCAGCCTATGGAAATGACTCTGTAGGGACCACCATCGAGCAGTGCAGACAGTGCTTTTTGGGAACCACAGCCCAGAGTGGCAAATGCAGTGGATGATTACCCACTCCTGGTTATCCGTCTTTGTGCGCACACATGGCTAAGTCCATAGCTCCCATTTCCTTTGACTTTCTCTAAGTCAACCACCAGTCCAGCCGGGCGTTCTGGGAGGTTAAGGGGTCACTGGGAGAACCAGACCTAGTTTCAGATGATTTAAAATAATTCAGAGACATAGATCTGAGCAGGCGGTTGTCCCTACCAACTTCAGATCTGCTCCCTCAGCTACTTTCATCCTTCATTTAATTCAGCCTTGTTACAAACCAGGCCCTGATGTCTGAGGCAGGCATCAGTGGCAGCAGTCACATTGTCCCATGTCCAGCCACTCTTCCTATGAGTCTCAATAGAATGAACTGAGAGAAAAAGCAATTTAGAAGAGCGGCTTCATTTGGACACTGAGAAAATTCCCTTTCAAGAGGACTGGTCGGCCAAGGAACCTAACACCCTGGCTGAGCTACGTACCTCAAATAGGTGACATGAATAACCCCAGACTCATCTCCAATCTGCATCTTGCCAAGGACAACTGAGCTACTAGGTACTTAGCATAAGGGTTACAAAGATCAACCACAATTGTATTTCTTTGGAGAAGGACATTCCTGGGCTTTCCACGACTTACCACGCTGTCGGAGGAAGCTAGTCTACTGCTCAGGCCGGACTGGTACCGTCACGCTCACCCACATTACATGTTTCTAAACATGAAGCTAAGCCTCTGCTTGCACATGACAGGTCCCCAGTGCTTGGCTGGGCTCAGGGCTGCACTGACAAGGTCAACAACCAGGCAGTGCTGCTAACATTCCTGCCTTTGTTGAGTGTTATAGGTGTTGATGCTTTCCTTAAAGCCGCTGCTACAGGAGATGAGTGGTTTATGTAAGAACTGCATCCCCATTTATTCCTTTTAAGTGTGCTGCTAGCCCCAGAGTGTAGAGCAGTGGCTGTGCAGAACAGCTTGAGAACATGAACTAAAAGCACTCTTGAGGCTGATAAAACAGAAGGGAAAAATGGAAAAAAAACATTCTTCAAACCTCATGATTTTTAAGCTGATTTCACATATCAGGAGTATATGCTTAACATCATGACAAGTGTTCAAGAGGCAAGGCACAACTGGAATATTTTTGTATAAAGCACAGTCAGGAAACTACAATTTCTTTCACTGTCTCAGGTCACATCATTACAAAAAGACTACGGTATAGAACGAAGATGACCCTTTTCTTCATTGAGTCACAGCACTGAAGCACAAGGTTAGATACAACTCTTTACACAAGGGTTTGCCCAGCACTGTCACCTGTTTCTGTGAAGTTCATTTCATCCATGAATTTTTGAAGCAAAGGGCTAAGCAACACTATAAACACCACACATAAGAACACCATCACCACGTCTTGGTCCTGAAATTCACGCTACAGGAAGGGACACCGAACCACCACAGCATCAAAAGGTCTCACATGAGATCCAAGTGACATCTGTCAGGCCTCTGTTTGAGGGAAGGTCCTCCTTCCTTGCATGAGGAGATGCTCCAAATGGAAATTTCACCCACCCCATACACTCCCCCACCACCTGAAAGATCACCAGTGCTGTGAGGAACCACTCCCACCGACTCCATTAAGGCCAAGCGTGTGTTGTTTAATCTTTCCCTTGCTAAGGAATTCTGCACGACCTACACCAAGGCTCTACATCACTCCAGTCAGCTCAGGACTGCTTCATGCTGCCATCACTTCCTTCTGCACATGCTTGGGCATAGCCAAGCAAGCTTGAAGTTGATTCTGTGCTGTCATCCTACCAGTTACATGTCTACCTGACTTCTCTATCAAGCTTTGCAGAGTGCTCTGAGCTCTCCCTTGCAGTGCCAAGTCCATCCTAAATACAGGCTGGCTGTGTCCAGATGAGCTCCAGACCCACAGTGAATGGACTCCTTCAGCTGAGAGAGGCAATCAGGGCAGCACATCCTTGCTCAGGAGATGGGCTCGTTGCTCAGGTCAATGAAGCAGTCAAGAATAGGATCCACAAAAGCCTCAAGTATCAAAAACATTATCCATTGTGTCCCAGTAATTAAGAGGCTTTGTCCTGGAGTCTCCTGAAAGGTTTTCAATTAATTCTTCATTTTTACAAAGATCCTTCCCTTGTTCCTTTCATAAGGACACAAACTATGCAATTAAAATTAAATTAGGAACAAACCAGACAGATGTATCCTAGCGCCATGACAATGGAAACACTTATTCCATTCTGTAACTTGCCTCATTCTGAGGTCAGGCTCTATACAGAAAAGCAGAACCAACAACTTTGACACTTTACAGCACATTTTCTGAATGTCAGCCTGTGCACCTGCAAAGCACAAAGTAGACAGATTTGTTTATGTTTCTATACCAACTCTGTTTTTTATTGGTAGATAACTCAAAAATCAACTAGATCCAAGGACAAGAGAAATATCTCATGCAATGAACCCCCACGCTCCTTCTCAGGCTACAGCCTTCATTTACCTATGCTGTTACAAATGGGTGTTTATCCTACTGCAGATGTTATAGTCATGCCAGAGGGATCAAAATGCAACATGCTTTCTCTCCTATTTACACAGTTATAAAGCTGATAAACATAGCAGACAGATATGTTCTAAACACTCTTAATTCCAGATGTGGAGAAGCATAAAGATTTCCCCAATTTGAGAGCTCAGAACTGGGAAGAACTATCATTAGTGGGTTACATGTTAAAGAACAGCAGAGTCTTTAGAATCAGGATCTCCTTGTGACAAACACAGCTCACCAGAAGTTGAGAAGAGGAAAAGTGAATACTAACTAGTAACTTACATGTTACAAACACTCCCATCCTGCTCCTTTCTACCCAACAAAGTCAGATTCCGAATTTGAAACAAACCCTTGCTTGTCAACACTCCTCTTGGGAGAGCTCCCTCACCAGGCAACTGCTATGCTAGAAACAGCCTTTCCTGGCTTCCCAGCCCAAGCTCAGGCTCCAGGTTTCCATGTTCGCCATATGACATGCTATGTTAGCCCAGGGTTTAATCTATTCGCTCACGCTGCTGTCCTTTAAAAGCATTAGCATTTCCTACACGCATATTCCATATTGGCCTTACAAGTATCAAAATGCTATGGTAAAATTTAAACTAAATATAGAAATCATATTTTTAAATAGCTCTTAGCTCCAACTTGCCAAGCTGATTTTGTTTGAACGGAAAAAGCAGGCTCCAGCTTTAAGCTTCCATTGTAATTAATGATTACAACATATTCCTCTGCCGTATCAGATTTAGCACCTCATTAATGTGTGTGGTATTTTGCTTGTATGGCACAGCTGTAGTTAAAGTTAAATTAGTGTTTCCATTATAAACCCATGCTTTCAAAGGTTTATTACTCAGACACATAAGATTTAGTCTGAAATGAAAATTGCCATCGAGTGTGTCAGCTGGGAAGCAATTTTTTTGTCCTTCAAAATTTGGAAGGACCAAAACACAAAAAAAAGCAAGCCACCCTGTTTATTAATAATTCACATTTTAAAAAGCATTGCAAATACATGTTTACATGATAGCCTGTGACAGCTCCATAGAATGTCAACGCCCACACACTCCTGGGAAATGTGTCATCTCAAAAACCGAAATAAAAGCCACATTTTTACACCACTTGATGGGAGGCGAAGAGAAGGGAATAAAGACTTAAAAATAATATCAACGAAGGAAACTTATTAAAAAAACCCCAGTCTTTATTTAGAAACATTAAAGTTAGGACTTTCAATGGAGGGGGGTGGGGGGTTGGGAATAATTTCAAGTACCTTTTGTACTTTTAATCTTTTGGTGCCTGTCCCTGGCTCACTAACACATTTAGCAAGAAGCAGTCAGTCCCAGTGACTTCCTATCACATGTGGCAGCCAGGCCTTCAACTGCTCATAAATCCTGGACTCTTAAGATATGACTAGACCATGCCCTTTGCAACAGTCCGTGTACAAGGCAAAATGTACAACAAAAAACACCTCCAAGGGCTCCTTGTTTTGCTATTGTTCTTCAATTAGCTTTAAGGCTGAACCACTGAGAAGCAGACCTTTTAACTGGGAGGCTTCTGAGGCCTCCTTGCTGATTACGTCAATGATTATACACTTATGACACGCAAATTTACAAACAAATGTACGACAACATTACCAAATTCTCAGTTACCACCATTATCAGAATGGATGCATTTTTGATAGCTAAGAAACATTAAAATGGTATTTTTGTGTAACGGTAAAATTCTCCATTATTTTGACTCCAGGACTCATGTGTTTACCCAAGACATAATGTTTTCAGAGAAGAATAAATGCATGAAAGAGCGTGTAATAGCTACTACAAGAAAACCAGGAGAGGCATATCCTTCATGAGCAGAAAGGCAGTATAGTTACTCAGAACTGCTCACATTTTGCTCTTCATTGGATTAACAAAACACTCCCACAACAGACAGAGAGTGGGGAGTGTGCTTTTTCCCCAGAGTTGCCCTTCATTTTTCAAGAGATTACTCCAGACAACAAAGATAATAGGAGCATGGTAGCAATTGCACATCCATTTGATCAAGTTTTGGAGGTTACTATAGTCTATCCAAAACCCTGCTGTTTTCCACACAAACAACTCGAGACACAGCAAATGGATCTATCTCTGTCCTCCCAGCAATCAAAGCTTCAAGAAGATTCTGTACATCAAAGGCACTATAATACTGTGATACTTACCAAGGCCCATATGAACTCTGGACTTCTCTTTGTAGTGTTTTCTTCTCCCTTGTTGTTCCAGGCATGGGAGTCCACCTCTTTTCAAAGCAGAGCTTCTTGATGATGAAGTGGAAGAGGATTGCAGGGAGGATAATGAAGACTCCAGCTGCGGACAAAAACTCAACAGCCTCAGGAGTAACTAGGAACAGAAAGTCATAAAGAAAACATCAGCACAAGCGGGAAAAACTGTCCAGAGAAAGATGTAGTTTAACAACATCTGTATCTACGGCTCTGCTATCCCATCCTTTCCCCAGAAGAAATAACAATTAAATTCAGCAGAACTTGGACTTGTGTTAAATGGATTCAACATCCACATTGGGACAGTCTAGTGAGGACATCAACAACAGGGTACATCACACACCAAAAATGTTTCTGATTAAGGTATTCACTTCTGTCACATGATGAACTTCAACACAGGAATGACTCCAGCTGACTTTAATAAACTTTCGTATCAATGCAGAACTCCACCAGTTTCAAGAGAGACACTCTCAGTCTATACTGCAACAAGGATCCAGCCATGAAAGGGCAGTTGGTGATAAACCATTTCTGAACAGCTTGCAGTAAATTCTCAGGGGAGGCTGTGGGAAGGATTAGCTTGGGAAGTAAATGGCCCCAACACTTCCTTTGCAATTTGTGTATTTTCTCTAAAACCATCAGATTACACCATAATGGTACTCACTAAGTTAATTACATTTACTGAGAACCAGGTTAATGTATGGCCTATGATCCTCATTCAACTGCTACTTTATCCTTAAGTAAGAAGTATATTACTACATTACATAATTACCATTCTTTGCTGCATAAGACCAGCCTCTAGCTCAGGTAATTCAGTTTAGATCCCTTGGTGTCAGGTTTGGCCACTTGTAAGGAATACAGTGGTTTTGCACCAGCTGACAACCTAGTCCTATACATCAACATCCCTGTGTCAAACTGTAGAGAAATGGTCTTATTTCAATTTATCATGTTCTGCCTGTATCACTGGGTCTGCAACAAACCGCAGGCGCCAGCAAAAAGCTTTTAAAGCCATTTCACCTCTCTCACACATATCAAAATGCCAAAACAAGGGACAAACACTATATACATCATCTGATGTGGATGGCAAGGGCACACACTGTAAGTGCCATCTGAAAAAAAAAAAAAAAAAAAAAAAATTACTTGTTATTCTGGTAATTATTTCACCAGGGAGGGGTGAAGTTCAGTTGTTCAATTCAAGTCAAAGACCCCATAAAAATGAAACATCAGCAGCATCAGTGGCACACCAGGGATGCCTGTGATTGCAAAGCTGCAGCTCACAGATGAGATGAGCTGGAGGAAAGGATGTAAACAGAGCCAGCCCTGCCTGTGAAACATCCCACTGGGAGTTTACAAGATTTGACTCAGCGAAAGACTTGGGCTAGAAGAACTACACTGTCTCCAGTTACAGTCTTGATAGTGCACAGTAGGACTACAACCTAGGGGATCTAAAAAACCTAAATCAATACAAGCCAACATGCTTGAAATGGAAACAAAAATCACCAATGCACAGCAGCAGCCCACATGCAAAACAGAGGAGTGTTTGGGACTGAACCCAGAGGAATATGGGTTACACAAACTCTGGAGGTGGCTCTGAACTTGCTCGCTCCAGCCTAAGCAAGGAACAGAAATATGCACTGAATCAGAGCAGCTTAAATTACAAGATCAAGTCTACATTTCCCTTGCTCTCTTCTGCATAAACACAATCACTTCTCTGGGGATTACTTCTGCGTCCCCCTTGTGCCACACCAGCACTAAACAGGGTCCATGAAGACAGTAGGTTTCCCTGACAGCACCAAAATTTGGTTCCACAGCTTCCCTGGACAATTTGGCGGGAACATACCTATATTCCCTATCTTCTCCTCACACCTAAATCCAGGCAGCAGGGCTGGGGACGTGAGAGTGGCCAAGTGATACATCTACTCTGGCTATTTTCAGCTGCTGAAGTCACCATTAAGTGGCTGTTGGAGCCAAGTATAAATCAAAAGAGCTGAGGATAATTCAAAGTAGCTATAACCCCACAATATACACGACAGCCTGGCTGGGTCCCATTACAGACGACTCCTTTTCTTGAGCATAGGCAGGAAGAAGGATTATGTCCACCACACCTCGGCACGCAAGAGTCTGTGTGTGCATGTGTATGTGAGGTTGGAGCAGATATGTAGCAAACTTACAATGATGTTTTAAAGGCTCTGTGTGAGTGATTTCATTGCAGAGAGCGTGATGTAAAGGGGTGGCAAGGTCACCGCTGTTACTATTTATTAAGCCCTTCTATAAAATTTTGGCTCTGCATCCAAGGAGATGCCAGGGTTTCCCCTTCTCAGACAGGGCACAAGCAAGTCACCAATATTTCTAAACACAAATTGTGCAACACATGGTCCAATATATTACATGACCCCCAGCTGCAGAAATCCTCAAAGTGCCCCTTTCTCCAGCAGACCTGCATGGTACCTTGCAAAATCCCAGAGGAAAAAGAAGACCCTTGACTAAACCAGGTATCCTGAAAGAAAGTTTGGAGACAAATTATCAGCTGCTATCCACTTGCTCTAAAGGATCTCAGACTGGCACAACAGCATTATTCCCCATCTATTCTTGTTTCCTGGTCAGCTACGGAGGAACAAGAAAGCAGTAGTGCAGTGGCGTAGGACTTGGAACCCTCCAGGCTTCCCCTACTCCTTGAGGCAAAGATGTAAAAGGCATCTCTTGTCAGAGCTCACAAAAGGTCCAGCTAGGAGGAAGGTTTCAAAGCCGGACACTAGCAACTGTGACCACACAGAGGCAGAGGTTTGAGGAGCACAGGTAAAAAGGGATGGCACAGAACCCTCCTCATACACCCTGAACAGCAAAGACTATCAGGCAGCTACCAAGAAGGGCTGGTATCCCTGCACCACCCCATCCTTCACCATAGGCACGAGGCGAAGAGGAAAGGTGCTCCAGAAGAACCACCACAGCTCCGGCAAGAACCAACACCTCCTACACAGCTGGCTCCCGCAGCAAACCACAGAGTCCCTCTCCTAAAGAGGGTCTGCCCGACTGCAAGGAGGTGGCTGTGACTTCTGCAGCACAAGGCAAAGGAGCTCATGCATCCTGTCCCACAGCTTTAAGCAGAAATTTCCTCTTCTCTCCCCTACGTTATCTGTGCCAGATACTAGAGGTTTGTGCCACAGCGACTCTGAGGGAGGGCTGTGATTTTGCACCTGAGCACTGTCTCACATACGTGGGTAGAAACGTTACAGTCTGTGCACCTGACTCCAGCTGAAAGCTCATTTTCCTCTGCGATGGGAGGCATGCTGGCTCTCCGCTCCTCCATCACCAAACAGAAAACATGCTGCACCTGCATACGGCCCTGACCACATGGCCCAGCTCTCCTCAACCCTCAGCTGAAGGGCTTTCTTTGATGACTTGAAACTCTAGGCTAAGACTGTGCCTGGGAAATTACTGTAAAACCGATTTGGAGTAGAGCTCTGGCCTGCAGTGAGATGTCTGAGACTGGGAAGGTGTTGATGAGGAAGAGCAGCAGAAATGCACACAGGTCACTTGTGCTAAAGCATGATTAGTGCATCAGAGTTTCTCACACAAGTAAAATGCCCAGTCTTACGGCAACAGACAACAAAATGTACTGGAGGGCAAGGAGACGTAGTGAGGCATCCAACTGCTGGTTCAAACCCTGGGCACCCGAGTCAAGGGAAGGACCCGGCCACCATGTGCTTTGGGACATAAACAGTCTGTTCAGCCAGGATTCACCCTTTGTTAAGCTAAGAAATTAATACCATAGACACCGTTGTGCAATGCCACAGTGGATCCACACATTTTGTTGCTCCAGGTGAGAGCACAAGCCAAACAACGGTGCTTGCACTCCTGTCAAGTTGAGGGCATGCGTAACTGCATCACTCCCTAGGATACACTGCTTAAGAACAAAAAAGGTGCAGTGTGAAGGGCCCCAAGCTAGGAAACAGATCAGAGTTGGAAGAGAGATCAACAGAAGACATCTGATCGAGAACACAGGAAGCACAAGACATTACAATGATGTTCCTGCTCCAATCTCTCCCTCAAAGCTACCTCCACACTACAAGATGACTTCAGGGGAGAGACTGTCTGGAAAAGCAGGAGGAAAGTATTAGCCACACTGTTACATGCATTGAATCTGTCTGGATATTTGGCTTTTAGTAGGTTTCACAGCAATTCTGCTATCAGATTTGGCCCCTCCAGACAGACCAGGACCAGGAGAATGAACGGAAGAAGTGTCACAATACTTGTGACACTTGGAGATTCTGCAATTAACAAAACTTTAATCCATTAAGCTCTGCAAGGGTTAAATTTTGCATAAAACCCTATTCCAGACAATAGTTCTTTAATTCCATTTGATACCAAGCTTCCTGCAAAAAGAATGTTTACTGGTACTTTTTAATTACGAAAAAAACCATAAATTGTCTGTTTTACTGTCTGTGCTAATTACATTTCATTATATATTTGGAGTAAGCTATGATTTTCCTGCTGGTTCCCATGACATTTTTCATTATCAACCACTAATTGTCTAGCATGCACACTGCATTGTGAACCAAGTAGGCTGATGCGTGGGCAGAAGTTCTAGCGAAAGCTGCAAGGCAGTAGAAGTGCACATTATTATTATTACTATTATGATGTATTAGAAAGTTTCCACCTACTTGCATACCTACATATCCTCATCCCTATCAGCAGTTTCACAGCGCCGCAAAGCACAGGGGTCCGTCTGTGACAAGGCTGGTGCCTAGCAAGGCTCAGCAACTACTGACGGAAAGTTATGGGGGGTGAAACAATGACAGCAGCCCCACTGCAAGGACAAGTTCCCTGCTGGGTGCAGTGGAAACACCAAGGTGATTTCTCAGTCACTTCCTCTACCTGGTGACCAAAGCACGTGGTTATCAGGGTCTTGTCACTTTGCCCACTCATAAGCTGAGGCCAAGGTTATAAAGGAAAATAGTGCCATATGTGGATTCCTAAAGGAATAGGATAACTAATGGAATCTTTATGTGAGTGGAACACAGACAAAAAGTAAAGGGTTTTCATGAGCCACAGCTAACACTATTTCCATTATAGCAAAACCTCCAACAAATCCCTATCCATGCAAGCTCAGAAAGTGCCACAAAG